GGTTGAGCAAATAACCAAATGACAGAAAGCCCCTGTAGTGGTTTCACAGTGGGCAGGTAGAAGAAAGGATTATGAAGCATCTAAAGAAAGGCAGGTCAGGAGGAGAGGTGCTGTGATGCAGGAGTTCCCAAAGAAGCCTGCACTCCTCATGCTCCCATGTGAGTGAACTCTAGATAACACTTCTTGAGGGAAGCAGAATAAAACTGGCCAAGCTACAGACAGACTGAACATGCAAAAATATTGGCAAAGCTTCTATACATATCTTGTCATGCTACTATCAAAATAATTGGCATGCACTCAGCTGAGGCTCCATTCATTCTCTTCATGGTCATTAATAAACAGCTGTTTCAATAAGGCAAGAGTCCACTTTAGCTGAAACTGTTCTTTGTTAAAGTCTAGTCTCTTAAAGTTATGAGATTTAAAGGAAAAATGACAATACAAAATACAAATAGATTTGCAAAAAAGTTTTTATATAAACTGCAAACAACAAATACTTTCAGTGCCTTCAGTTCTTATTAAAAGTGTTTGTAAAACAAAGGCACATTACCCTAGTGTTTGTACTTCAAACACCAAGGTCTTGGAAATAAAACGGAGAGCCCAAAAGCAGGAGCGTGATGTGGGCTTTGTTGCAAGTATTATTTTTTAATAAAAAAAGTGCTAAATAAAAAACAAAGTCCAAATGATGTAGAAAACTTTCAATTTTTGGAATTGACATATATATTAAGAAGAATGTTTAGATAGAACCAGGTTAATATAAGCTTCTGGAGACATTTTTCTACTTAAATTATTCAATGTTTTTTTCTTGTCTTGACTGTTGAATTCTTGATACAGGCAGGGGGGAGTGGAAATCATTTCATACATTCATCCAATCTGCCTTTTACATTCGTAAACTGGGACACACTGAGCCATTGAAAGTTGTACAGTTTTGATAATCCAAAACAAACTCTGAATTCACTCAGAATGCTGCAAGGGCCACCATCAGCCTGGCCCTGGTATAATCACAATAGCGCCTTTGTAACCAGTCCTGGAGTCTCCCATTTGATTCAACTGGAACAAATTGTCAGACTAAAAATAAGTCAGATGTACCACATTCATACACTTACCATATTCATTTTTCCTCTCACACCTGTTTTGACAGTGTATGCTAGGAACAGCTTTTGCTACACCACCACGCATTAAATGGTAAGCACCGGGAGGATATTCATTCTAAATAACAGCTACTCAAAGAGCAAAACCTGTGGATTTCCTACAGTACCAGGAAGAAAACCAACATGACTGAATCCTTGTGGATACATGTATGTGCTGTACACCTTGAACTTTAATGGCTGTCTCTGTTTTGGCTGCTTTTCTGCATAAAAGTGGGGCTGAGGGGAAGCTTTCGAGTCCACAGAGTATGAAGGAAAACTACATACCCTGGAAACTCTGACTGAAGGTGGGGGAAGCTTAATGTTTTGTTTTGTTTTTTTTTCCTCTCTCCATCTGATGACTTTGGGACTATAAAAATTTCCAGAATGCTGGAGTTCAAACTGCTGGAGCTGTAAAAATAACTGGTTCATGGAATGACACAAAAATGTGTGCTTGCTTACTGAGATACACCATGCACAGACAGAAACACGCTCTAAAGTCCACAAAGTTAATAAAGAACAAAAGCAGTTTAGTTCCTCAAGCTCTGCTACTTGTTTGGCAATTCTCCACTACAGCACAAGCAACAGTTTAGCTCTTAGCTGGGGGAAACTGGGGAAGAGGTTAGTTGTAGGAGAAACATGTGAATGAAAAAACATGGAAAAAGGACATGACTAATCAGTTGTTAATGCCAGGGAAATCAACGAGAAACTTAAACTGACAAACCCCAACATGCAAGAATCTGCTCTTCCAGTTCTGTTTACATACAAACAGGGACTTTATTAATACAATTAATATGCTGATTCTAAATTGGTTTCTCTGAAGGAAGAGAAGCAAAGCCACCCAGAAGAGAGGGCAGGCAAGAAGCAAAACAGGAGCAAGCAAAACTACAGCTGTGCTTAACATGCAATGTGATACCCCATAGGCGTAATCATAAAGAAAAATATGTTCTCTTTTACTGTTAAAAAGCAGAAAAAAGCAGAAGTGAATTTTCTTTTTGCAAACATAATTTAATCTATAGCAGATTAACAGGTTTTATGAAAAGCAGATGTGATAAAAAGTCAGCATTTTGCTTTTATTTTTTCTAGTGTCTTTGTGCAAGGCAGCAATCTTTTCCTTTTTGACATACCTATTAATTCAGGTGCTCAGGTAGAAGCCCACTGACAGATACATGACCACAACAGCTTTATTCAATCTCATACTTTTGAGCTCTAACATCATAATTTTCTCTTGTGGTTCATGGAGCCCTTGAGAAGTACATACATTGGTTACTGGATGGCACAAGTTGTTTTTAAGCACATCATAGACTCTTAAATTTCAAACCAGCAACCTCATGGCTTTTTATAATTCAGTTTATAACCCCCACTATAGGAATAGGAAGAATAGACAACTGGCTGCAGTCTATCTTTAGTCTTCACTTAACTTGAGATACAGTTACCATCTCACTGCCTGCATTCTTCCTTTGGGAAGAAGAGTACTGTTTCATTAGCAGAACTTTGATTCTACTGACAAAACTTTCCAGCTTCAACCAGGCCCAAGCTCAGAACTGTTTGGTACTTACCACACATTCCTCATTTCCCCTTATTTTAAGGGCTGCCTAATTTCTTCCAGGAGGCTGAGTGGTACACAGCCCTCTCACTGCCCTCTGCAGCCCTGTGGCTGATAGCACTGCCACTGCTGCCCATCAGGAGGGGAGGCAGCCAGACAGAATCCAGTCCTACACTTCACAAAGCTCTAGCTGAACAAATGCGTAGAAAGTATTTTTGCTGATCAGTAAGGATACAACTTAAGAGAGCCTTCATACAGCAGAGCTTCCTGAACTGAGTTAAGAAGCTTTCAGTAAAATCAGCTGATCACTTCATGTTGCTTTATTGCTCTCCCATTATTTTAATTTTTGCCGAGAACTACTGCTACATTCAACTCGGAGCTCCTGTAAAGACTTAACCATTAAGAGTGGACCTCTAGTCATGGGAAATTTCAATCTGAAATGGTTATTTCAGCTTGAAGCATAGTTATAAAACTTGCTCAAGATTGCCACTGTGACAGTGTCTTTTTGACCACCCCTATTTTTCTATAGGCATTTCACTAGACTTGCATATCTTCATCTTGAACTATGTCACGCATTGCCTTTTCATCTTCCACAGGAAAGGTCTGGTTTATATAATAACCTATGATGAAATTCCTACAGATGTCTACTGAAACACTTTTCCTTAATACATCCAAGAAAACACATCCCTCACATACCATTGACATGGCAAGACCAAGAACTGTTATTAGTCATGTGATTTGAGTGCCATTTCCCATACCATGGTAAAAGAGATCTAGACGTTGTTCAAATCTAATCTTTCTTCCTGCAAAGGCACAGGGTTGCATTGCTGCTTGACCTCCCTTGTCAAACAGGAAATCAGAAACCAGAGTGATGCTGCAGTATGAGAAAGGCTCACAGTGTACATTCAGTATTAGAAATGAACCTATGTGGCATTTAAATAGTTTAGTGGCAGCGCTCTCCTCTTGACAAATCTCATCAAAAAGGATGAGAGCCAAGATATACATGTAACAACACTACATATTAGTGTTATTGTCATGCCTGAAGTGTGACCCGAACAACTACCTTAGGTGAACTGGGTAACTGTAACACAATGAGGTCAGGACTAGCCAAATTCATGGAGTACACCAGTTCCACAGCATGTTCATGGGAGGTGAAGTCAAGACCTGTGACAGCCTGACTGCAAAAGCAGCATTTTCTCTATGTATTTAGTTCCAAATTGGCCATCTCCTATGTGTTAACTTTGCAAAGTGACATTGAGATACAAGTGTTGGGATACTGATCATTAGACTCTTTCAGTTGATTAGACCACACTGCCATAGGAGGAATGGGATGTTGGGAAAACACTGGTTGGAGTTCTGCCTGAAGGTTGCTAAGCATTATAAAAAACAGATATAATCAATATAGCTACTTGATACTAACAACTTCAGTTGTCACACCAGGGGATGCTTTTCAGAGGAAAAAGCCAAATGCATAACATGAGTTCAGAAGAACTCTTTTTCAATAGGTCAGGGAACTCTTCTCTGAAGACTTGCTAAAGTAACTGACCACTTCCTTGTGAAGCATTACAGTTAAGACCAACGGAAGATGCTGCCTTGCAGATAAGCTCTTTTCCATCATATGTTGTTTTCTACGTGCCAGCATATCAGGCATGGGAATCATTTCAAATTGATAACTAGCATCCAACTAGAGGGGACTACAACCCTCTTGCTACTTTTAGTATCAGAGTCTTAATCATGAGGTGACAGTACTATATTTTAAATCACCCAAAGCAAGCAAAATTATCTGTCCATGTGCACTATCTCTACTTGGTTTGAATAGAAAACCTTGAAGTACAGGATTGCTTCTCAAGAGATCTCTTGAAATATTAGTTTTATAACACTTTATATGACATTTATTAACACAACTGCTTTTGCAGCTATTTAACACAGTTTTAGGAATATGAAGAAATGCTCTTGAGAGAAAGGTCCAATCTGCATTCTGCCCTGAACCCTAGCACTGATCTCATTCAGCTGGTTCATAGTGGCAAAGGTAGTCAGAACTTACTGGGAACAGGTTAAGGTTCAAATATCAGTAGTAAAATATGCCAATGCCTACAGTGGGAAAGAGAACTCTTTCCTGAAAGATAATCTGTGCATACTTCAGAAAACATTTATGGCAATTTTGAACCTTCAAAGTGCTGTGACACAAACTGATTTTCTAAAGCAAATTCTTCCTATCAGTTTGAGTGAGTGACAAAAATCAGTTGTGCATTTTAGGGGATGATTCAGACCTTAGAAGAGATGCTGCACCTCCTACTTTTTCAGTGTGTTTTGCTCTAAGAAATACTTACCGTTCCAAGGTCAATAATGAAACAATCTCCTTTGTTGAAGCTGGTCCAAGCCAGGGGGACTTCCGTGGCTCTTACAACTCTCCGGCCCTTGATATGCAGAAGCCTTTGGGCACTCAGATCATTAGTAACAACATGATTAAATCCAGAGGCGACACCACCTGCCTGAATAAAATGAAACAAAGCAGCAAGCTTTATTTCAGCTTGATTTTGGCAAACTTTATCTTACAAGTGAGGAGCTACCAGGAGAAAAAAAAGTAGTTTATGCAGTGAGAGTGGAGCCAAAATAATATACTGTTTAGCAGTGCTGACCACAAGCCAGACAGACACAGCAAATGCTGCTGCTGCTCAACCCTCAGGTGTGAACTGCTATCAGAGGGAGCAGACATCACCATGTTTCAAAGGGTTTTCAGATGAATGGGCAAAGGGAAAGCACAGGATTTATAGCACTCTGATGCATCATCCAGAAGATGAGGTGATACCAAACCACACTGTTAGGACAAAAGTCAGTAGGTTGTCCAATAAAGACTGAGGAAACACAGAACATGCAGTCCCTATATAAGTTTTCCTCAGCTTCCTTACATCTCGGAGGTCTGGGTTGTTCTAGTGTCTGGTGATGTGTAGCAGAAAGGGTAATTCCACAGCAGCTCTGTAATTCTCTAGAAGGAATATCTGCAACATATGAGCAACCTAACAAGGAGCACCAAAACTGGGGGAAGCGAAACCAAACTCTTGATTTAAAATCTATAAAGTTGAAATTTAAGCATAACTTATTCCTGTAAACTGGCTTGGCTGTCTGCCTCTGTGAGAGCGTATTCTCCACTCTGCCAGGAGACCCAGATCTTTGGCTGGAATGGGAACTGGCTCTTGAAATTACAAAGAAAAAGTAAAAGGCCAGGTCTCTGCCAAAGTCTCTTATGCAAGCAGAATTAGAGGCTTCAAATTGCTTGTTTAAACTATAACAAGTTGCAAACCTCCATAATAGAATAAAAGGCTGACTGAGCAACAGCTCCCAGAGCACCTGCTATGGGGACAGTTTCAGAAGATACATTACTTTATTCTTAAAAAAACCTAACAAAGATGTTGCAAAAAAAATTCTTTCCAGAGATTCAGCTTCTGGAATTGACACAAGGGGGCTTTAAAAACATCTTAAAAAAAAAAAAAAAAAAATCATTAAAAGTATTTGGGAGGTTTTATCATCTACCGCAAAACAAAAACCTGCAGTAGGCCTGCAAAAGCATATTTTTTTAGACTAAAGTGAGATTATGGTCTTTTCCATTCTGATCATGTTCTCAACCACTTAAGCACATCGAGTTCTGCATTTGCACAAAATGATTCAGTCTATAACAAAGAATTTTGTGATATTTACCATCTCCCAGAGTCCCTACTGTGAGCTCCCTTAGACACAGGTATGAAATCTCAGGATAGCTAGATTTTGGGGGGAAAGAGAAGGGAAGGTTTTCACATATCAGAAGAGCCACTGGTAAACAATCTGTTGCTTTCTGTACAATTACTGGGTCTCCTACAGTTTAAAATAGGCGGTTCAGATCTAAAACCACTAAGCATTAAGAAATTACTTTTTAAACTTTCCATTTACAAAGCAAAATATTTTATTTAGGGCATAATGTTACATATATTTTTTAGAATACATTTTGACAGATGGATCTTTACCTTGTATTTAATTCCTCCTTTGAAGTAGCCCACAAACTCAGTAGACTCATATCCTTGAATTTCTCTACTCTGCACAGGCTTGCCTCCTAAATAGTCATCCATTTGAACAGCAAAGATAGCTGCAGCTGTGCTTTCATCCTGGGTACATTCTTTCCCTGAAATAAGATGAAATATTATAAAGCACTAATATAACTTTGAATCCCGTTGGAGAAATTGTGTGACAATCAGGCACTGCCTTCAGCAGGCTGTACAGCCCATGTATATGTTGCAACAAAGCACTATGTCATAACCTTGCTCACCACTAAATGCATGACCATCCAGAAAATCACTTAACTACTTGTAAAACTACATTCATAAGGAAAACAGTGAAAAATAGTGAAGTTTTTCTTCTCTCATCCTCTTTGAGCAAGAGAACATTTTAATTAATTTGGTTTAGCAAGTGTCTGCAGTATGATTTTTGGACTCCAAATTGAATTGCAACAAAGGAAGTTCACATCATAGGTCTGATTACATGGTAAACCATGTATTTATGCTAATAACTCACCAAGCTATAAAGTCAAAATAGTTCAAAAGCAGTCCTCTTGATGTTACAATGCAAGCAAGGCATTCTGCTTAGATACCTTTTATTAGATTGCCTGGAACAGCTTGGAGAAAAAAAGCAGCTTTGGGGTTCAGATATTTGCTTCATGATGTCACACTTTGTTTTGTACCTTTCAGGGATTAGACTCTTAACAGGACTGTGGCAAAATGCCCTCCTTACCTAGTCTGTTGATGGCCTAATCACATTGCAGAACAGGATATGTATTAAAACAAAACTTCTAATACAGGCTTATACATTTTCTGATTAACATTTTCAGCAGTTCTGATTGCTTTGAGATAAGCACAACAATTCTCAAGAGCAGCTTCTCACTTACATTAACCATTTCCTTGCTTCTTATGTGACCAAGTGGAAAAAAAGCATAGAGTCCCAGGCAGTCTGAACAGAGACAACTCTCAGACTGTGGGAGAAGGGGAAGTGTGTAGTCTGGTATTGGTGCCACCTCACACCACTGTGAGTCACTGGTATCACAGGAAGCCTGTCAGTAAGGTATTAGGAAAGAATAAAGCCTGGGAGAGGGGGAACAGGGATGCCTAAGGGTACCACTGACCTAGCTCCTCTCTTAGGGAGAGAGTGCCCTGTTCATGGCCCAGCAGTGCAAATACCATAGGATGACTCCCCACTGCCCACGACCAACTGTGCCCCTGTGTCCCAGGAGCAGTACCACCATCACAGCTTTTGTGGTAACATAGGTGCAATGGGAACCTCCAGAAAGCAGCAAGGATGAACTAGGGAAAAGATCCAAATAAAAGCAGCATAGGGAAGAACAAAGTATGAGGTCCACCCAAAAAAGATAAAACAAATACTAAAAGCAGGACTTAACACCAGAATCCTGGGGGGGGGGGGAGAATGTTCCCATCACTCAGTGACAGAAGAATGAAGAACTCAATATACGGCAACATGCTTTCTGAGACTTGGGTACCACCTTAACATTGGTGGTAAAGCTAGCGGGGAAGGGTGTTCATTTGTTTGTTTTTAGAGTTATTTATGTTCATTGGAATTGGATCCTTCAGATTTATTGCTTGCATTTACACAGGCATTCAGAACACTGTTAGAGGTAAGAGCCACTACCAGGCTTGGTCTGACAGCTGCTATGCAACACAATACTCTGTGAAATCCTGTTTAAAAACCACAAATGAGCATCAGTCTACGCAGAGGTTATTCAAGCTTGTATGAAAAACACATTTACATTGAATTTGAGGCACAAGCAGGTATAAATGAGGAAGAAAAGATATATGTATAGGAGAAAGATCAAGATTTTTGCCAGACTAGATCCTGGTTCACATGAACAGGTCTTATCACTTAATCTGAGAACAAGGGTTAAAAGAAGAGATAAGAATACCATGCATGATTTTATTTAAGATATGGAGTATAGCTAGTTTTACTCCCACAAGTAGTCTTATACTGGCTGTTTCCACTAGTGATAGTTTTGAGACAGCTCCCTTAGGATTAGTAATTTAGTTACTAAAACATCCCTCAAGTGCTAGTGCAGACAACCCAGCCAGGGTCTCTGAGCAAAGTTAAAAATGAACACAGCTGCCACAACACAGATTCACACGGACTGCTTAATCCATGCCAACATCATTGCAGCACATGAGTTAGGTTGTTCAAAATTACGCAATCTGGGCAGCACTTCACTGATACTTGGTAAAACAGTGGCTTTTGAATAGGAAGCTTCAGGATGATTGAACTGTTTGGTCACTTTAATCCTAGGATGCCAATCACAGCACAAAACTGTCAGCCTATCAAGGTCACAGACCATCCTCCCATGATCTAGACTTCCTTCTGGGTACACCCAAGAAAGACATTAAGAGGAAGTTTGTGACTAACATGTTATGAAAATTCAATGGTCTTCTAAATTTGAGACATATTTGGTAAAGTCAGAATCCATTCAGACTCAAAGCCACCATATGAGGCCCACGCAGTAACAAATGCCACAGACGGCATGCAGGAACAGGACCATATTACCAAATAGCAAGGCCCATTAAGTATCTAAGCTCAAAGCCTGTAGGGCTTCCACCAATCCAATTTCCTAAGTATTTCATCCTGAAATCTGGCTGATGACTGCAGGTGTTCCGAGACAGCTTATGGGAAGTCTTCAGAAAGACCCTACTGAGGTCTTACTGGCCCACAGGTTATACAGCCTTCGCCAATGAGGAAAAGCCTGGTGTGCATAACAGCAATGAGAACTGGTCAGCAAAAATACCAAAATGATACAAACTCTTGCCCTCGGTGTGACTACCCTTCCCCGTACACCTTGTATGGATGAAGTTCTGGTCTCCTGTTGCTATTAAGCTTGCAGAAGTCTTTGAGCATCTCTGTCCCACTACTGGTGCAAGCAGGAAGGGATTTCCCAGCAGTTAGCCACCCTACAGTCAACTGGGGTATCACCCCATAAACACAAGAGGTGCAGGATTTACCACTAAAGCTCCTTAGGCAACAGCAAAGATGTTTTAATCAGTGCAAATGTCACTGATTTGACATCATTTCCAGTTGCAAAGAACCCTTGCATCTTTCCCTGGGAGATGCCTACCACACCTTAACTCCTATGTAAGTAGTTCTACCTCCATTAACAAAGGTCTAAACAGCTGAACCCTGCTACTAACTAGCTGTGCTGCTGGCATAAGAACATCGGCCAGAAATTCATTTACACTGCCATCACGATTATACTCTTGTCAAAGACAGACACTAACCCGCATGCCAGCTGGATAACTCGTAACACATGCAAAACTAAACAAGCTTGAAATATTTATGCAGAAGCAATCCCAGCTTTATCTGCTATTCTTTTTCAATGCACCCAAAAGTACAACAAGAACCACAGCAACTCAATCGCATTAACATTAATGCACATTGACCTGTCTTTATGTGCTTTCACTGAGATGATTGCCTACAAACACAAACCCGATGGTGAAAGAAGAAACAGGCAGCTACAGAGCAACCACTGTGGCTGGATGTCTTAGTGACCAGACAAGGAAGTCTCATAAAACCTCCAGAAGATGAGAAAGTCACCTAAAATGCATCCTTATGTCAGACTTCTATTTTACCCTAAACACTGTGCTAGGCAAGGCTAAAGGCAAAAGACAGCCCAATTGCAGGGTTCCCTATTACTTTTGACTGCTTTACAAGGCTGTCAGACTGATATTGAGAAGGTTTCACAGAAAAACTGGTGACTTTGCCTCCAATCTCTGTATAATCAGGAAACGTCTGAAAAGGCAACATCTGGACAACAATGCCACAGGGAGATGGCTGAGATGGAATTTTAGCTCTAGTAGAAACAAAGGCAAGAAAAGTCTCCATCAGAATTTCACTGGTTGGATGCAGCAAAGACTCGAGTGCAAATCTTCAGAGCTTTTCCAAGCTAACACCACAAAGCACGCAAACGTTCACCTTTCTGTCTCACCCCATTTTCTCACCCAGAGAGCCCGCTCGCACTGCTACACTCTTCGCAGCGAGGCTCGGCATCGCCCCGATCCTTGGCTGTAGCGCTGTTACTGAGCGCCTCAACTTGGAAGCGTCATGCACGCAGCCCTTGCGAAAAGGGAGGGGGAAAATTCAGCTCCCCATCCGCCGCAGCCCAGCCAAGCTGTCAGAAACCTCACCAGCAGCATCGAGGACATGCTCGCGCTGCTCCCCATCCCGGACCCCCGCACCGTCCCGCTGCCTACCGAGCCAGTAGTGGAGGCGGTAGGCGGCGGCGGCGGCCCGGCGGACGGTGTGCAGCACCAGGTACGCGTCCCCCACGAAGAAGTCGCCGTGGCGGCTGGGGGGCACCGGCACCAGCTCCAGCCGCTCCACCCTCCACACCTGCAGCCCGCTCTGCTGCCCGGCCCCAGCGAACACCGACGGGGGCCGCTCGGAGGCCATAGCAAAGAGCGGGGAGTAGAGAAGCACCACGGGCGACCCGCCCTTTATAACGCCCTTTATAGGGCCCGGCCCGGCCCGGCCCCGCCCGGCAGCCTCCGAGGTGGAAGAGGCACGTCCCCGCCCGGCCCCGCTGCTGCCCGGTGCAGCGTTTTGTTACTTTTCAACACGCCTGCTAAACTCACCCGTAGCTGCGGCAGAGGTGGGGTGAAACATCCGCCTCCCTTGGTGCTGATGCGTCGTTTTCCTCTGTTCTAAAATGAGAAGGAAAAAAAAACCCAAAAAGTCACAAAAGCAAAGCACAACCAGCCTGACCCAGTACTGACGAGTGCTCCAGTGCTGTGCAGTTTGCTTGTATAATGATCACACCTGGCTTGGTTTTGTAAACTGCTAGTATCAGAATGCAAACAGTTTCTATAGCTTGTGCTTGCTGTCGGGCTCTGGTTTTACCCCAGATTGGAATGGCAGAGCACAGCTCTCTTTCTCCATCCGGCAGTTTCATTTTGTTTGCCCAATGTTATAAGGAATCTTTTTGTAAGGGGAAAAATCTTGTCTCTTTTGAAAGATGCCAGATGAAGCCCAGAATGTATATAAATCCTTTCTCAGAAAATGGAAAAAGCACTGTGCTGCTGTTTTCTTGACACCACACAACAACAACCCAGAAGGTTTGAACCCGCCTTGTCTATAAATGGTTGGTACATCATCCTGGCAGGCTATCACAACATGAAAATCACAGCAAATCACTGTTTTCATCTGATGTTGATAAGAGGTAGATTAATCTAGGAAGGTTACAGGTAGAAACAGCTGAAGCTGTCAGTATATTGAAATACAGGTTTCAGAGAGGGTTTTGCTTAGGATCATCATTTTATTCACCTGGATAAGTTTTGAAGCTCATATTTCCCCACTATGTTGTTTTATCAAGTTAACACAAGAAGAGTGCAGGTATCCACCTGTGGGCAGTTCAGGGCTACCTCAATAGCAGGTACTAGAGGCAGTGCTACAAGCAACAGAGCAACTGGAGGCATCTTCTCTGGCAAAAAGTTAAAAAAAAAGCACCACATCTAAGAAATCTAATTATCTTCCCTGCCTTCTTTCTATACTGTCTGGTGCACAGTTTAGCTATGAGGGAAAAGATGCTGTTACACAATGCGTACGTACTACCATGTTCCATTTTGGTGAGCATCCTCTCAGCAGCTTGCCAAACAGAGGTGTACAGGCACCCTAACCTCTATCCCCACTGTTTAAAAAGAACCTGAAGGCGCTGTGCTTTGTCCAAGCTCCAGCTGAACATGTCACGGCTCACCTTCAGCAGTTCATGGCTAAGCATTTTATCCCTCATTCTGCCGGGGCTGCAGGGACCCTGCTTGATAAAGCACTATGCCTCCCAAACGAAATGCCTTTCTGCAGACTGTTCACCATATGAAGAAGAAAAACTCCAGGAAGAGCAGCCAAAAAATTCCAGCAGTTCCAGTTTCAATACGGTATCAGATGTTTTGAAATGCTCATAAATGATTTCTCAAGTTTACCCTTCCATCTATGTCAGTTGTTCCTTTCACTTTTAGTCACATAGTTACATGAAGCAGATTTTTTTCATATCATGCCTTTTTGCATTCTTGTGCATTAGTTTGCTTTGGTCAGTGCAGGTAGGACTTACCACAAACTCTGTAATCGTAGGGCTTTACTAGTTCTTCTGAAGTTGGCCAGTTGCACTTGCTTTGAAACTGTGCTGAGTTTTGCCCATACATGAGCTCAAAGCAGTCCGGTGTTATGCAGCCTCATGTCTCCTACCTGTTCTGCCTGTCTTGCCAAGCTGAGGTTGTTTGTGCACAGATTGCACAGGCCAGTTGGTCAAATTTACATCTCCTTATTCTAGCATTACATTTTCAGATCACAGACCAAATGCTGCTCTCAGCTGTAATCCCCCTTGCTGTCAAGAGATGCACACTGATGCTGTTTGTTCAGCATTGACTGTGCCCAGTATCACACACCAATGGCCAAAGGTTAAAGACACAAGAATAGTTTGTTTTGTCTCAAAGTCTGTGGCATTACTTGGACACAAAGGATGTTAACACTGACACCAGAGTTTTCTCATGCCAAAATTTGGTTTACTGGGATTATGAACTGTGTAATCAGTTACTGGCTTCTCAAAGAAAACCTTCAGTTGAAGTAAGTGACAAGATATTTGTTTGCACTCTTCAATATTAATTTTTGTCTGTTTGCAAATCTTGCTTTTGCAATCTTCCTCCTTAAGAAAGTAGTACTCTTTTGTCTTGGCCCATTTCCATCTATTTTTTCGTAGCAAAAATAAGCACTGGAAGTGCTAACATTACAGATTTTCATAACATTTTAAATATCAAAAGCTTTCCAACATGCAGTTATTCAAAAGCAAAATTTCAGAGAAAAATGAGAAATAACCTCGGACTTGTACATTCAGAAAGAATATTTAAAATTACTTTTTATGTGCCGCTGTGTGTTTTTTGACGTAGTATTTGAAGTGGAGAAGACTACAAAACATTATTGGTTTTGTGACTCAGAAGTCCTGGGTCAAATTGTAATTACTGCGCACTGTAATGGACTTTCAGACCACCTTAACTTGTCAAAAGATTTCTGTTCTTAGTTCCTAACCGTTATGTTTTGCTGATCAGCTGTGCCTTTCTAGAAGGGTGGCAAAGGCCTAGTGCTGTTTCAGCTTTGGAGTAACAAAGGGAAATAAATTTGCCGCACACCCTTTTCTCAGGGGGAGGTCAGACACAGCAATCAGCTGCTGTTGGACCAGGAACACAAAACTGTAGATTTCTACCTGCTTGATGGCACTGTTTGAGGTGTGGCCATCTTTAAATGCCTGCTTTTTTCCCAGGAACTGAAAGGTCACACAGGAGTGTCAGAAGGTGTTCCTGCTCCTCATTTAGTCCTTAAAACAGCTGAGATAGATACAAACACAGTGAGTTCAAAGGTTTGATATGACTCAGAGAATTGAGGACTTGTGAAAAAAATTACCATTTGATTTTGCTCATTTACTTCCAAAGTCTTTTGTTGCATTAAGGGATCTTCTTCCCTTACAGTATTGTTGCAATATACTGCTTACATGTGGGTGTGTATACACATCTGAAAAAACAGAATGCAACGTGCTGAGTTCTAATTTTTGTCCCAGTCTGGGGTAGGGATTGCAACAAAACAAAGTGGTGCTTGCAGGTGCTTCCAGAAACTAAGCCCCAGCATCTTTCCAAGTAGGAATAACTTTCAGTATGGACTGCTGAAGTCAAAGTTTATAGTCCTTCTACAAGGCTGGTGCCCAGCATTGAATTAAAATTCCAGGAACTAACAATGGAAGGAATGAGAAGGGAATGTGAGGAGAGAATATTTTCAAATGTCCCAAGTGGTTCCTTCTACAAAGCTTATTTCTTCTTCACCATGTATGCCAAATGCCCTCTTGAACTCTGTGACCCTACCTCAACAATGGGACTACAGATGTTTAACTCCAGTTTCATGTTACAAAGTTTGCTGTACACAGAGTATGTGCGTCAAAACCACACTCCTGCCCAGTTGCAGAAGTCAGCCCCTGTCCTCACCTGTTCTGTTGCTGAATCAAGTGTTATTTCAGATTTATCCCACATCAGTAAGCCAGTTCACAGATCTAAGCTAAATTCCTATTTCCAATATACTCCTAAAAAAAAAAACAACCAAAAATCACTGATACTGTATGAGCAGAAGGAGAATTAGACCATACATTTTAAAAAGCAGTTATCAAAACCAGGCTTTAGAATGATGTTACACTTGATAATTCTTTCCATTCTCTCATCACCACTCAAACCATCCTGTTCAATAGCCCAGCTTTAGCAAATCTAAAGCATGCTGAAGAAAGACTGAAACGCAGCTTTCCTCCTCACTGGCAAAGTTTGAGTGATGAGGCTACTAACTAGATGAGAGGTATGCAGAGCTTCAACCCATCCCCTGACATAAGCAGTCAGTCCTCCTTTACCGTCAAGAGAAGAGTCTGGGTTTAATCCTCCAAGTCCAGAGCAAATAAAGAGCTTTAGTGCACAGCATGTATCTAAGGCGTAGAGAGGGTAGGATCACAGCTATGCTATGTGATCCACTTGGCAAGTGGCTGGCTCCTTCCTACGTCCTGCTCAGCTTGTGTGAGTACGCTCTCACTCACTATGGCAGTGTCTGTGCCCCTGTACAGGCAGTGAGGGATTCTTCAGTGGCACTCACCACTTTCAGCAGTGCAGGTAAGGACACTGCATGCCCAGCAGCTTAGAAGCTGTGACTCTCCAAATTCATTCTTCAGCAGTGGTGCTGGAAACATTCTCAATATTGGCTTCTGTCAAAGCATCTGGGAAAACATTTTTGACACTGGGCTAGTGAGAAGTGAGGTGTTAATTATTTAGTATATTACATCTCCCTGCACTTTTTGTACCTTCTTCCCCTGAAATATTCAATGAGTAGCATTAAAGTTTAATCAAGAAATTCTGATTATATGTTCATCCCAAGCCACAGTATAATGTATCTCAAGGAGTCAGAAAGGGGGAATTGAAGCACTCCTTCAGCAATCCTCTGTTTTCCAAGAGACAGAAGGTCTCCTTTATGTTTATATGACATTTCATTACATGTCATGGGAATAGACAAGATTCAGAAAAACATTTTCAGACTCACAATTTTACCCACCTTGGCTATCTATACAGAGAAATACTGTCATTCACATCAATGATTTATCAGCCTGCCCATGTTTCCTGCTCATTTGGTCTGCCATAGGAACAAATCATGCTGTTCTCTATGGATACACAGCTCAGCAAGTTTCACCAAAATAATCCCACTGATCCTTAGGTTTTCTTCCTTATGTTTAGATACAGTCATCTCAAGTCTGATGGGGAAAATCTCCATCTCTTTGCAGAGTTCAATTTTTTGATGAATCAGTGAAAAATGGAAAGGCCACTCTTTATTTAGGAAGATTCAGAAGTATTGGCCAGAAATTGTTCATCAGAAAGTTTAACTGAAACCCTTTATATCTGTTGATAACTTCAATTATTGCTACAAAATGTCTTT